GGGGGGGGGGGGACTGTAAAATTCCTTGTAGTTATCCTTACACCTAACCCAAAAAGTGTTGCTAAGTACATCCTTTCATTGATCGATCTTACCATAGCACTGATGTTGGAGACTGTGTTGACATTCCCGCCAGCTGTACCTTCGTGGGCCGAGCTGCTTCGTGCGTGTGCCAGAGCCAGCGCCTGTGTGTTTCCTGTTAAGCCCTGCCGGGCTCCCACGAGCTGCACGGGGATATGGGGACTGATGTGCTGGCTGTTGCTAGGTGGCGCTGGGAGAATGTGAGGTGGGTGTCGAGGAGGCAGCTGCACAGGTAAGCGGTGTCCCTGAGCGGTCTTGGGCTGGATCGGCACAGGTCCTTTTTCCGTAGGAGCGCTGGCCTGTTGTAGGGGCTGCACCACCAGAGTCTGCGTGTTAACGTTGGCTTTTTGGGTCACTGAGCCAATGGAGTAGCCCTGGGTGGTGGTTGTAACACTTGAGGTGGGCACCAGGATCACAGGGGCAGCAGAGGAGGACAGGAGGAGCTGGGAGAGAGGGAGTGCTTGAGATGAAGTGGAGGAAGGAGCTACTGAAGCACCAGGAGTACCAGTCTTTAAAGTCATGGGGTTGGCAGAGGACTGATGAGCAAAGTTGGGTTTGGCCATCTGTTGATGCTGTTGTGGTTGCACTTGCTGCTGCTGAGCCGTCTGGGCGAATGCCTGCTGCTGCTGCTGCTGCTGCTGCTGACCGAGAGGGAAGCCGGCAACATCTTTCCTCTCTAGAATCTCAGACTTTACCGGAACTGCTCTGGGAGTAGAAGTGCAATGGAGGGCCAGATTCTGCACCTATAAGATATAGAAAGAAGGAGGTTGTGGGAATTGCATTGAAGAAAAGTAGCAAGACTGTGCTTGGTGTACATATTTAAGACTGTACGACTTCAAAAAGATCAGACTTTACATTACAAGGCAACGTTAATCAAACCTGATCATTGTCAGACTGAGCACCGGCAGTGGTAGGAGTGACTTCATGCTGTTGTTGTTGTTGTTGTTGCTGCTGCTGCTGGGGCTGTGTCTGGGCAACTGTTGCTACAGTAGCTGTTGCTGTACCACCAGGCATGAAGATGAGCTGAGAGGCAAGGGGAGCCCTAAGAGAGCGGTTGACCTATGTGAGGAGCAAGACAGATGTCAACATCGTAAATAGCAAATATTTCAGTGAAGGACTAATAGTGGCTGTTACTGCTCAGACTATCAACAGTGTTTATTTTTGTTCCTAAGTAAATGTTGTAGACTGCATGATTCTAGTTATGAGTAGCAGAAAACACCAACCCAAAAGTAAATCTCTTAAGCACTAAATCAGACAAGCCCAATATGCATTAGTTTAGTTGATTATTACACAAAAACAATACTTTTTAACTCACCCTGAGGTACATCTGCCCCTGTCCTGCAGGGTTTCCACCTAGCAGCACTGACTGGTTGAGAGCGGTTGTTGTTGCGGAGGTGGCCGGACCGTGGGGACGGGGATTGGTCATGGTACCTCCTGCAGACGTGGTGCTTAGGTTGACCTGGAAGGAAAAGAAAGTTGTAAATTCCTATCAAACTTACCTTACTATTTAAAAATTTTGCTGTGTGAATCATAATTTAAACAACTTACAACAAAACTTACTGTGTTGGTTGCCTGGGACATGCTGTTACTTGGCGTATTGGACTGTCGACTAGCTGCAAGCGTAGCAGCCTGATTTAAAAGGAGAGCAATGAAAGGGACGGGGTTCAATGCTTCTGAATATATTGTTGTACTGACTGCATTTTACTGTCATCGTTTTGGGTTACCTGTTGCACGGCGGCCAAGTTGTGAAGTTGGGCACTGTTGATCTGCTGCTGCAGCATCAGCTGCTGGAAGTACTGAGCTGCATTTGGCTGTCTTTGCAGCGCTTGAAGAGCCTTAAAAAACACAAACACACAGATACACGTCTCACAAAAAAAGTCTTCACATTTGTATATTTTTACCAATTCAAGACAACAAACAGCCTTTTTATCACATCTATGCAGTCGCTTATGCACACCTGTACAGCCTGTCTCTCATATAGAGACATGTGGGCTATCTGGGGTGCACGAGAGTTCCCACTTGTCGGAGGATTTCCGTTGGTGGTGCCTGTGTTTTGGTCTTCACCTGCATCCATGTTTGCTGCTCAAAACACAGAAGACACTCATCAAATGTAGTTGTGACCAAACGTTTTTGTTGTATGTTGCAAAGTAACTGTACATTTTTTTGTCAAGCACTTGTTGAATGTGCAATTTACACTCTTTACTGGAGCCACGCGATACAAAAAAAACACATAAATAAATGCACATGTGAAATTATCAGTTAGCTTAAGTACATTACAACCAAACTGTGTCAACTCAGTAGGTTTTAGCTTGCCAGATGTTATTGCTAAACTACTAATAGCAGGAATCGTGTGCATTAAGGTATTGACATTAGCACACCAGTTGTCAACATAATGGATGAATGCGAGAGAAAAAACATGGAGGAAAGCTTTTCATTTTTTTAAAAACAAGAAGCTAGCATCTGTGGCTAACTACTACTTTGCCAGTTAGCTAACCCGTCTCTCAACAACATTCTGACAAACCGCAACTAAAATACATTAACGTATGTAGAAGTATTGAATGTAGGTGGGGCAGTAGTTAGTTTCGTCACAACTCTTGAATTACGAGTAGAAAAGATGCAGCGTTAGTTTAACATAAGCTGGATATGCTAACTAACTAGCAATGCTAGCTGCTTACTGCAGGCAAAAAGCGAGCAACTACGTGGCTATCATTCTCGCAAGTCAACGTCTAGTTTTTTTCAGTGTGCTTATGTGTTTACCTCTCCTTGGTATTCTGTCCTTTTCACACTTAAATGCACTCGAGTTTATATTGCGATCTTGTTTTGAACTGCTAACAACGATAGCCACTTTCAGATGTTTTTGCCTCCAACGAAGCCCCGCCCCTTATGAGTCCCCATCTTCTTCTTCTTCTTTGTGTGGTGGCGGATTGCAAAACCACAGTAAATCACGTATACCGCCCGACACCGCCGCCTACTGCATCAGCGTGTGCCGATCCCACACACAAGCCCAGGTACATCTGCCAAGAGGTGTTTGCTCAAAACCCACTCAACATTAGCAAACAAGAGCTTTACCATAACGTTCATTCAAACACAAAGTATTACTGAAATGTGTTGTGCCTTAAATGATTTTATTAAAACATTTTACATTCATTAATTTAAATCTCCAAAAGGTGAGTGCACTTGGGTGTGTACTAATTTCACCACTACAATGGACATACACAAACTACTTTCATATTTTATTTGTTTATGGAATCAGAAAAGAAACAAAAACATTGGAATCCTCACTGAAACAAACACGTTTTTACTAGATATTAATCTAGAGGCTGATTCCCTGACATAGCAAAGACATTCCAACTTAATAAACACAAAAAGCAAAGATGGAAACAAACCAAAACAAACACAAGTGCTCACACTGACAATAATATAGTAACTTCATATGCAACTGAACCTTCCTAACATCATTTAACCATCAAAATCCTGCTGTAATCCATTAATCATTTGAATTTTCTAAACATTTTACAAACTTCATTATTTGTATCCTCAGAGCTGTAACATGTTTACAACCGTATTATATTGATATAGGTGTATAGAAAAGGAAGTTTTTTCACTGCCGCTCTATCCTCCTAAAGAAGCAAAGCATCAGGCATGAAGCGGCCTGAATATTTGGTCAAAAGACAGTCGACTCTTCTCCTGCCATGTTGGTGTGTGTGTGTTATATAACGTAGGCATCCAGACCAGAGTTTGCCCGCTATAATATTAATTATTCAATATATTTGTGATCAGAAATATTGGTCTTTTGTGGTGAATGTTCATTTATTCTATGGAAATACAATACCCCAAATACATATATACCGTATATATCATACTTTTTGATATAATAAATTATAAATAGCATAATACATTGAATTTTAGTTGGATACTTTGCTTCAGACACTACATTTGTAAGTTCAGCACATTAATTTAACAGCATTGTTGACCTTTCAGATAAATATGTAAGAGGACGGTTAGTTATAACTGTCGAGATCAGATTTCATTCAGGAAGCATTTTAGGAAGATATCAGAGAGAAAGGAAGCCCAAACAAAAATCCAGGTCAGTCAAGCTATTTCTATTTGTGTAGCAAGGCTGTAGGCACACTCACAGAACTTATAATTATACATTTACATTCTATTACTTCGTTCACTTTCAATACACAAAATACATAAACTGATTAAAGCCAAATTACACAAGCAAAAGTACTTGTGTGTTTTGTAACCTACAACTGTCAGTGCACAACCAGGACCCAAGAAAAAAACAGCTAAGCAGAAAAAGATGAGCAACAGGACATTAAGTTTAAATCAGGTAGAAATCCAACTTCTTAACTTCTCCCTTTAGTGCCAGATTTCCACAGAAGAAAAGTCACTCTTTATTGTCACTTTGTAATATCGGATAAGTCACTCTTTTGTTTGACATCAAACGGCTGAATGAAATGCATGGGGTCTGTCAGCCCTATGAGTAACTCGTAAGTGACGAGCAGACCACACAGTCGTTGCTCTAGGCACAAGTCTGGAATACACGCTGACAGGTCCTAACCTAAACCAGTACAGGAAAACAAGACTTGTGTCTAACAGCAACCTGCCGCTTGTGAAAGAGTAAACTGTGTCACACAGCGAAACTTTCTGTCCCACTTCTGACGTGTTGAGGTCACATAGGCAGTAAGTGGTCATCTCTCTCCTCTGGCTCTTCTTCTAAAGGTTCTGTGGCCACTCCCCTGTAAGCCGGGGCGTTCTCCCGATTCCGTGACCGACACACAAAGTCACATCCATCCTGTGTGTGTGTGTGGGGGGGGGGGGGGGGGTTAAGTTTGTTGTGAAATTTTTTTTTTTTAAGTCACACGAGCCTGATGTTTTAATGACGTTATGCATTAAATGAAGGCTTACCGCTGTCATGTTGCCAACTTCCACCCAAAAAGCATAATTCGGGAATTGCTCCATCCCTTTGGCTCCAACAATCAGTCGTTGGTAGAGGAAACCTCCAATGAGATAAACAGCCAGAAGACAGAGACCACTGGAAGAAGAGAAGGCCTATGATCATTAATCAGTCGTGTGCCTTAACGTTAAGGCTTTTTGTGTCATAGCAAACTGTATTTACGCACATGATGAGTATTATGGAGCCAGCGCTGATGTGGGACTCAACAGCTTCACACATAGCACTGGAGTCCAGTTCAAACAGGTAGAAACAGTCCTGCACCCTCTGCCTGTCCTCCAGCACCACCTTCAGCTGGCCCTGCGAGTGAGATGGTGAGAGACAAAAGGTAAATACAACACACAAGAGGAAAAGGAGACTACTGGACACAGGAGAAACATTAGGCCATGTTCAGACCTGCATTGCACTGTGTAAAGAAAACACTTTTATACAGTAAATACATTTAACCCAATAAACTGCAGGGGTGCAGACAGAAAGGGCTCCAGCAAAAAAAAAAAAAAAAAAGTTGACCCCTGATACTAATTTCAGACGATACAATCTGACGTCATTCAGCAACATGCTGCATTGTACATGCGCACATGCTCTTGTAGATTATTGTGTACCATCAATGGAATATTTCATTGGCCTTCCTTGTAATCATCAAGATGAAGAGTAAACTCACTGTGATGATTTGCAGAGTTGTCAAACTGTGCATCATAGTATTATATTTCGCTGTGCAGAGTTTGCAGAGTTGTTTCTCAAAGATGCCTTCCTGGATCATATGTCGTCTGGTACGACATGCCCCTACAAACGCAGAGCTTTGCATTTTTTTGTTTTGAACACGTTGACATTTTTGGTTTGAGCCCCTGGGGCCATATTCCACAGGTCAAACATGTTAACTTATCTGTCTGTCACACGCACTCGCCTTAAGACCCGTGGTGACCGAGCTTTTGAGGCAGTAGCACCAAGGCTGTGGAATGCTCTGCCTTGCACCTCTACGTTTGACAGATTCTGTGAATTCATTCCAGAATCAGCTCAAGACACACCTGTTTAGACTGGCATTTGACTAGAAAATTCATGTCCTAGGCCTGCTTTTAAACCATGTTTTAATCTTGTACTTTCTGTGTGTATGTACATATTTGGCCCTTATATGGTCACATTGTGTTGTTTATGTTTGTAATTCTGCCTCTGTTAAGCACTTTGTGACATATGTCTGTAAAAAGCGCTTTATAAATAAATCTTACTTACTTACATTCTATGCCCATTATCACTAAGAGTGCACTAATCCTTTCTCTTTTTTTGGATCAACCAATCACACCTCTTTACAATAATGTATCACACCTAACAACAACGTCAACCACACCTCATCACCAAGTTTCTGTCCCTTCCTGCCTCAAAGCTGCTCTGAGAAGTTTCCTAATCCACTCGTAAGCTAGGACTCTCTGAGAGTATCCTCAGAGTTCTTGTGAATGTGGCCACTAGGAAGTTAGCATTTCCTTTCACAAAACGAGCCATCCAAAAGCCATCTACGTGTCCTTTACCACATCCACTTTTTTGTTGCAGGAAATCATGACCATGGCTCTCCTCATTTCTTTGGAACAGTGGGCATCATATCTGTCACCGTTGTTATAGATCAACATCACCCAGTCACCTGCAAGAACAGTCGAGTGTCAATAATAGATCATGCAGACACAATATTGATCTAAATCACTTCAGGAAAGGTTTAATCTCGTGATTAGATATAATGCAAGACTTAACAGTGAACAATTCTACTGCATTTTTGGGCTTATTATGCTCGTAGTTTGTCTCAAAACACAATGCAATGCTCCGACCTAAGATTCCAAATCACAGACGGTTAACATTCAAACACGAAGTCAGAGTAAGTCTTTTATTCGGCAGAGACTTACTTCCTCCAATGGCCTGCGTTGCATTATACAGGCCAACCAGTGTTGGTTTACTTTCCAATTTCTTGCTGTCCAGCTGAACAATGCCGGCTCCGGTAAACCCCCCTGCATCTCCACACAGCTGGAACACATATGTGTAACTCTCACCTCCAATCTTGGTCTCTGCTGTAAAGCTGCCAACATGAGAACAAATCCCAGTAAACGATTAATAACATGCGAGACAGCGGTGAACACCGAGGACAATCAGGCAAAATGCTTCTGTCACGGTTGGTTTGCGTATTCAATTAGTGCAGATTTTTTGACAGGCAGGATAACAAAAACAATGTAACGTCATATTGATGGCGCTGAATATGCAGGTACACAACAGAGACACGTCTTACTTCTTATGGGCAAGTGACTCGAGTCGACTGAGGACTTTGCGTTCTGAGTCCGACTCGTTTAACAGTTTACAGCTTTTGGTGCCGTCAGTGGCGTAGACCCCACTCCCACACAGGACCAGCTGAACGACCAGGGTCCACAGCAGGAAGGACCCTCCGCCGCGACTGTTGACCACCTGGCACAGATGATACAGAAATTTTTTTTAAGACTTATTACAATTATCACCATTTAATCAATTCTCAAATATATTACTTATAATTCATTAGAAATGAAGGATGAAGGATATATAATGAGAGATGATCGTAACTGTTAAACATCTGATTTTTATCGATACAGTTTAAACTACAGAAAAATAAATGTGATCGAACGATGTTAGCCATCACTTTTAGCGCTGAAAGGAGTCGTCAATTAGAGCGACAGGCAACTACTTTGATAACAGATTCATAATTTATAATTCATTTTTCCTTTAAAATTGCAAAATAATTTCTGCCTTTATTCGTCTTATATGTAATTAAACTGAATAACTTTGGGTTTTAGACTGCTGATCCGCCAAAACAAGCTATTCATACCCTTAAGCTCCGGGACATTTATACTTTATCATTGTTATTTTACAAACACAATGATTAAATCTTAAATGAAAATAATCATTAATTGCAGCTCTAATCCTGCTGAGATTTATTTTCTGGGCAAAGCTGCAAATCAAAGTGCAGGACTGCTTTATGGTAATGTTGGATTTTTATATGATTCTTGAATCAACGTAATAAAGTACCTTTATTTGTCAGGTATTTAATTCACCGAATAACCAGAAACAGAGAAAACCTGTTTGTCCAGTTCGTGCATATATTACATATACCAAGAGAGGTGATTTTATCCTTATGAAATAACTTAAATAACGGGATGCATGCTCATTCATTTGCTTCTTCGACAGAAAAACACAACTAGGACGAAACTACCTCTCCATTTTTTTAGACAAAAAATACTTTAAGTGTAGGCTACAACATATCAATAATCATGTGACTGGGACATGAAGTTGTGACACCACATAGACTAAAGCGTGTGCATGCAAAATGTCTGTTCATCTGCGCATGAGACAATAACTTTTCTAGAGGAAGCAGTCCGTTACTAATACATCTCTGGAAAGCTTAACAGAGTTTAACTTTAGGTTGCATCGTGCACCTACCTTCATGACTTCTTCTACAGTCAATGAGTATGGGGGGGGGGTTCCTTTGTTAGTTACGGTTTTAACAGATCTTTAAACATGTAGCCCGTTGTGTAGTGAGCTTCGTCGCGCTAACGTCGCTTCCTGGTTGACTTAATAAAGCAATAAAGCTGCTATTTTGTTATGCAATTAAAATAAAGTACACCTGCATGTACTCGGGAGTTGTATATGAACGTTGTTAGCGGCACGCTTTTCCTTGTCCTGGATAAGAAACGCGCTTTCTTTCTCAAATTGTGTGAAGTGGCATCCAAGAGGCTAACAGGCTACAGGCAGCAGCAGCGGAGTGCGGAAGTGAAACTAAACACACACGCGCACGTGACCGTCCAGATGAGGCGCGACCAATGAGGCTGCCCCCCCCCACCAGCATCAGCTGACCAGAGGACGTACAGTTGAGTGAAAAACAGGAAAATCTCAAGCATGGAAGGGCATGATGGCTACAGTTGAGGAAACAGTTGAACATGTTACGGCTCACTGTCAGAAATAAGAGGAAGAAAGAAGGCATATCATTAAATACTTCAGCAAGATTAAAGTACATAGAACTCAGAACTCAAGAAGTAAGTGTTATCAAATACTATATCAGTATCTTGGATTGATTTATATTGATAAAATGTTAGCCCGTTTTCAATTTTTTATTTATTTTGTATTCAATAATAAGTACAAGACATCCTGGTTCACACTCCACACCAGTTGGTGGTGGTAATACACAAATTCGTTGTTTGCCAACCGCCAATGAACCCCAAAGAAGAAGAAGATGTCTGCAGTTTCCCCTGTGTGCTTCTGTTAACGCTGCACAAACCACTACTAATATTTGATAATTTATTAAGATGCATCTCCAGATCAAGTCCAGTATTTAAAAAAAGGAAAATTCACGTTAGATTCACAACTGAGTGGAGATGGATACAAACCAAAAACCATCACTTCTTTGGCATTATTTCACTCTCTCTCTCTCTCTCTCTCTCTCTCAGCATGGCATATTATTTTTTTGGAATACTTTATTCTGCTTTTTCAAGGACAAACACATTGACAAATGGCACATATCCACTAAATGATACATAACATACAGGATAAATAACTGTATAAAGTCAACAAGACAACAACCAAACAACTCAAACTTAAGTTCATCAAATAAACAACAATGACAATACAATTATGTAACCAAACAAACATTGAGAGACACAAGTCATTATCTGGTTCCAAGGATCAGGCATTTAATCACATCCAATACAAGATTAAAAAGTGACACCGTCAATTTGGTGCGATGGGAGATTTAGTATTAACAGAAGACTGTTACCTCTCATCAACTCTGGTTAGGCACTTTTCACATAGAGGCCCTGTATGCAAAATCGTGTCATGTTATTGGACTTTGGGCTACATCATGTAGCCTATAATGTTCCAGGGCTCCCCCAAAAACTGTAACCATCAATTATATAAAAGTTTACCAACATACACTCACATTTGCAAGTTTATCAAGTTCACCAATTTAAAACTAATGCAGTCTAATACAACAGTCCTGCAATAGCGTGATAATCACATATTTAAGAAGTTAATAATTGTGCTCCAGTACAAATATACCGCTGTTGTTTAAATAACATTCTTTTAAAACCATGTCAGAAGCATATTTTAAAATGAATTACATTTTAGTAGGGTACGTGTACAAAGTAGAGTACAAGTATATCCAGTTTACTGTTTAATTGCAGCCACAGCACATGATGATGCAACACTTGTTTTCTATTTAACTGTGCCTCATCCTTCCAATTCATCATCATGAATTTGAATACAAGTCACAGCCTTTAACCTGTTACAGGTCTGATCAGATTGATTTCCCTGAAACAATGAGCCATTCTTCTGATCATAACCCAGCTTGCAAGATAAGATTAAAGATGATAAACATTCATCAGTAGCCTGCGTTGCTCAATGCATTTAAGACAACAGTCTCCTTCATGACGAAACAGTTGAATGTCTAATATTTCAGAATGGATAGGCTTCAGTCCCTTCTTTTCACAAAAATATTGAACTATTTCTTTAAAAGTAGCCATACACACTCAGTTGCCAGTCTATTTGGTAGATAGCTAAAACTAATGCCCTTATTGATACAAATGGAAGTATAAACTGCAATACAATTCAACAACACCACAGACCACAAAGTCTGCAAAATAACCACAACATTTAATTACCTGAACAAAAATGAACACTCTAATAAACCTTGTGAAGATTTATTGCAGGGATGTTTATATGACATGATACAGCTTGAGATTTATAATTAATAATAATTTGAATATACTTATATCATGTAAAATTAAGTACAAATCTGAATGAGTCTGTTTATGAATGTTAAGCGAGTGAAGGTAAAATGAAGTATAACCGGAGAAGTTCAACAAATCAAAGGAACAAGTTAAAGAGGGAACTGTCTTATTACTGTCTTTATTTTGTGATGTTAATGACAGAGTGGTGGTGCTCCACATGTTTAGGTCACTTCAGGACTCAATCAACATAGTAAAGCAGTCATTGTTAAACAAATCATTTACTTGTAAATGCCCCTCCCTTGGTTTACTCCTCTGTGATTGCTTCATCTTTTTTTAATCATAAGAAACAGTTTGTATATTTTCTTTCTCCCTTCTCTTTACTATATCTCATGGGAATGTAGGGACGTTTTTATAGGCCTCAGTGAGCTTTCCACCTATTTGTGTGTTTGTGTGTGTGCTATGCATTCTTACTTTCTGTCTCCCCTCCCCCACTCTCCCTTGTATTATCTCAGACCTACCTTACCTGGCTGTGTGTTTTGTGCAGACACACCCGGCTACTCCATATCAACCAATCACTGCTCCAAGCTAGAAACACCAAGGAGGTGTACTTCCTGTGTTTCGGTAGAAAGGAATGGAGCAAGAGAGAGGAGAGACTTTTGTACTTTATTTTGCCAGGGGGGGCCCACACAGGCGACCCCATTGGCAGTAGAGGGGACTAAAGTATTGGACGGGCTCGGCAGACTTTTGCTTGATTTATTAGAGATCTCCCTGTTCGGCAACAGCCACGGGGAGGACAAGACAGAGAGAAGGAGGAGGGGAAAGATAAGTGTCAATCTGTTGAAACTTGTTTGGGAATTTGAGGAAGGAGGGGAGGTGGAGCGAGACAGAGAGAGAGGCAGCAAGAGGGAAAAACAAGGAGAGCTCAGGCGTAAACATCACGTTTCTCACAAGAGTTTAAGTATTGAGAGTAAAGGGCAGCTTTGATTGATTTAAAAATGGAGGAGATTTGCTATGTCAGCTAGACAATGTGTATACAGGGAATGAATTCTTGTCTGTTGTGCAATCCCATGCTTTTGAGCTGAACTGGACCCGGGGGGAGACAACAGATCTCCCCAGGATACAACATTCAGGTGAGTTGCTTCACTATTTCTTCTTTCGTGGACTCAGATGAACACTTCTTCTGTAAATTGCTTCTAGTTCGAGCGGATTTAGATCCATCTTAGTTATGGTTTACATGTTACATGTCATGCCTATGTGTCACATGCCCTCGCTTTCTGAAAGACTTCTTTTGGTGTGCTGTACTTTGCAAGTCTGTGCTGCATTCTTAGAGAACTGTAAGAGGGTGTAACCTTTTCTCTGGCATAGTCTTCTACTTTAAAGTTATTATTCAACTACTGGCATAGACTATTATATAGCTGTTAGCTCTAAAGTGTAAAGGTTGCAATTTAGTGCATTTGACAAAATCAGACAACAGCAGACTGAAGACGCAGCATTGTTGCAGCTATCAGGTAGTAGTAATGTTGGAGAAATATAGTTTTTCAGTGTACACTCACAACTCTCTGACATTAACTAGCTCGTTAAAAGGTTGCAGACCTCTCCGTATTGCTTAAATTGACCTGCATTTCTGTTTTTTGTCCCTGAAAATAGTTTGACTCTTAATGCTGGATTTCTAAATTGACCATGTGGGCCTTTGCTTTCTTTTAGGTTCTCTAAATTATGATTGATGGGGACCAAAAGGCCCAGCGGCAGCCTCTTTGACACTTTATCTAACATAAACACATCTGACTGTAAGCTTCAGCCAGGTGGAAAAATTTCCCGGGATCCAAGTCCCAGGCCAGCAATGACTGCCCAGTCGGAGCGAGAGAGAGACAGTAAGCGAGAGGAAGACTGGAGGAGGGAGAGAGAAACGGAGAAAATGAGGGACAAAGCAAGAAACAAAGATTTGGACCCACGGGATAGATATTATGAAAGAGACCGAGCTCCTGCACCCTGGCCGAGAGAGGGAGAAAGAGAGTGGAGGGAGAGAGAAAGGAGGCAGGGAGATGACAGAAGCAGGAATGGGAGGCCGCTGTCGATTCTAGAGAAGGAGACTTTGAGAGTTGTAGAATGGGCGACGAAGAAAGGTGGCACATTTCCCAGAGCGAGAAAACGCAGCGCAGATCGTCGTAAGGGAATGCCGTCCTTCACCGAGTTGGATGAGGAGAGAGGAGAAAGAAGGCAGAGAGATGGGCCGAAAAGAGTAGAGCCAGATGACCGTGAGAGAGAAAGAGAGAGGGCACGGCAGAGAGAGAGGTACAGAGAGAGGGAAAGAGATGAGATCCGAAGCAGGGGAAAGGAAGAGGGAAAAAACACTGTCGGAAGACCTGTAAAAGATGAGAAACCACGAAAGAGGGAAAACTACCTGGATTCTGACAGGATAAGAGAAAGAGGTGATTCATTGGACAGAAGAGAGAGGGATACAGGTAGAAAGAGAGAAAAGCCAAGGCGAAACATGGGAGAGAGGGAGACCAGGGCGCCTTCTCCTCGCAATCCAAGAGACATATACTCAGAAAGGAAAGACGGTGAAATGGCTGGAAGGAGGGACACCAGGAGTGAAGGAGACAGTGACGAGAGAGAGCTGAAGAGGGAGAAAGTGAGACACAAAGAGAGGCAGGAGTTGACATATCAACACAGCAGAAGTGAGGGGGACGATACGAGCAAAACACAGAGGAAGAGAGATCCAGATAGGCAAAGATACAGGGAAGAGGACAGGCAGACATATAGAGACGGGGACAGAGAAGTGGATCGATCCAGGAGGAAGGGCGGGGAGAAAGATGGGGTGAGATACAGAGAGGTTGATCGGCGAGCTGTAAGGGAGGGAGACAGATGGAAGGAAAATGTGACAGATTTGAAATATGACAGGAGAGAGGGAGACAGACACAGGCAGTACGAGCAGAGGACAGACAGGAAAGTGAAGGAAAGAGAGGTTGATCGTAGGTGGGATGATAAGAAAGAGAGTAGCAGCCGATCTCAAAACGAGACGGCTCCTCGGGTGCCGCCACGAGTCCATAGCAGCGGAGAGTTGAGCAGTGACATGGACAGTGACATGAGATATAGAAGAGGCAGAGACAGTTATGAAGAGAGGGAATCAGGGAGAGAGAGCACTGCTGAAAGTGACAGAGATGTAGAAGAACAGAGAGATCCAGCTGCTGAAAGAAGTCAAAGGGAGAAGAAAAGAAGTGAGCGGCAAGAGACAGACAGGGGAGAGATGACGGAGCAGAGAAGGATGTGGTTAGAGCCACAGAGGGGCAAGAATAGTAAAGACGAGTTTGTCGACAGAGAGAGACACACGAGGGGGAAAGAGAGGAGGAGCGAAGAAGAGAGGAGTACGGAGTCACAGGGTGAGTGGGAAAGAGACGGGCGGCAAGTAAAAGAGGAACCAGATGAGAAGAATTTGGACCAAAGCAGCTACAGGGGAAGACATGAAGGGAGAAATGAGCACAGGGGAGACAGAGAACGGGAGACAGCGGGTGTGAGTGTCGATGGAGAGGAGGTGGGTGAAGTGTGGAGAGAAGTAGATAAGGGAGGGAAGGAACATCTGTCTGATAGAGATGGAGGGATAGAGGAAAGCGGGCAGAGGGATGCAGAGGGAGAGAACGTGACAGATAACACAGAGGAGAGTGACAGAGAGGAAGAGGGTGGAAGCGGTTATTTGGGCCCCTCTGAGAACGAAGGAGGAAGTGAGAGAGGGTGGAGGAAAGATAGACACAGAATGCTGTCAGGAGAGGACAATTTTGTGACTGTGTCCAGCGGTGGAGACGAGGAGGATGAAAGAGAAGAAGAGGAGTTTGAGGACTGTCAGGAATTCTGGGAAGGTGCACGCGATGGCCACACTCCTGTTGTCGTCAAGGGGTGTGAGGGAGACGAGGAGAGGGGAATGGGAAAGCAGGAGGCGGTTGATGAAGAGGAGAGGGGGAAGCAGCCAAAGTACGTCTTCTGTGTGATTGGGCAAACGTTGCTCCGGCCAAAAACCAACGAGACGTCACTGTCACAAGTTGATCACATGGGAGGTGTGGAAAGAGGCAACCCAAACATAGAAAGTCGTAATCACTGCGGTGATGAGGCCACACGGGAACCTTATGATGACCTGAGTAGAAATGATGAACACCCGATCATCATCATCCAGGACACAGACAGCAAGAGTGAGTGTGACACACCAAGGGAGGAAAGGCCAGCCACAGGAGAAACAATCGAAGGGGATGTCAGACACAGAGCATCGTCAGTAGGAATGAGGAGCAAAGTTGAGCGCCCATGCGCCATTAAAAGAGACTCAGAGACTGAAAACCTTCTCATAAAGTGGAGAGAGAAAAATACAGACGGGGTGGAAGGAGAGCGGGAGCAGACTACGCCAGTCCCGAGTAATCCCTATGGGGATGCTTGTTCTCAAATGAATTTGGAACAAATTCAACCCATCTTGGAAGCAATTACCACCGGAGCAATGAGTCCAGAAGAGGTGGAGGCCATTCGGATTCGAATGAGCGGCGCATGGAGCATGTCCGAAGAGCCCAAGCGGCATTCCCAAGCTCCGCACCTCAAATGGGCCAAAGATGTAGTGCGGGAGATTTTGGGACGTTCAGAGGAAAATACTGTTGACGAACCTAATGCAGAGGACGGAGGTAACCGAGGGGTCGACCGGTGCAAGACAGAGATCAAGAACGACAAACGGGAGGAGGCCGCACGAGTGACTGGAGAGGTGCCTGTTTTTAAGGTGGGAATGGACGAACACCACTCAGAGCCAGAGCTGGAGGAGGAAGAGCCGCTGGAGGTGGAGGGACTGAGAGGTATGGGGCAGAGCCAAAATGCGATGCATGCTGACCAGTTCACAGCTATTCATGTTGGTGACACACCTACATACACTCATGCTGACACACTGTTAAACACAGAAGGGAAGGAGGATCACAGTTTGGACAAAGAGACCGAGCCGTCTGGTTCCCTTCAGTTAGAGGAGGCAGCTGTAGAGGAGAAACCTAGGGAAGAGGCGGGTGATGAGGTTAAATTATCAGAAAGGGAAAAAGAAGCTATAAGGGAGAAGGAGGTGGAGATGTATTTAACTGTGAGCAACACGTTGTACAAGCCTAACAGCTGCCCCATTCTGAATTATGACAGCGAGTCTGACCTCCTCGTTCCCTCCAGAGAGGGAGAGGGTGGCCAGGAACTGGGAGACAGAATGGGTGAGAGTGACGAGGAGAGGGGTACTGTGGAGAAGGTAGAAGAGAAAGTCGATGGGGAATGCAGAAAGGGAGAGGTGGACGCAAAAACGAAAATAGCAGGGGGGACTCTGACGAGCAGCTACAGTTTCCGAGATTTGGGTCCTGAGGCTCGGTTACGAAGAAGGGGAATCCGTAAAACCACTGAAAGAAGGAATGGAGAGCTTGTAGAAGTGGAGGAAGAAGAAGATGATTTTGGAAGGGATCGCAGAACCAGAATATTTTCTACAACAGGTAAAAACGGAAGATGGAGAGAGAGACTGACTGCTTCTGTCCAGTATTAAAAAAAAAAAAAAAGAATCATCTCATCAGGTTGTATTTAGACTCGACTTCATGCAGAGGAAGTAACCTTTTAAATGAAGCAAACGTTTGATTTTACACACAGAAAAGTTTAACCAGAGGCAATCTTCTACTCATTTCTTGTTTTACTGTCTGGGAGTATCTTGCATCATTGTTGTCGTCAAATTAATCTCAGAACCAAAATTCGAATGGAAACATCAGCTAATAGACATCATCAGTTTGCTGATGTTATCATATTACATGGAACTGCGTCACAGTGTTGTGGTGCATAGGTAGTGGGCGGAGATAAGTGGAGGTGGAGAAAGTAAGGGAAGCATGAGCTGAAAAGGCTCAAGATGATTCTGCTTTGAGACACAACAAGAGAAGCACGAGTTTTGGAAACGCATTCATCTTTTGTGTAATGCTTGTTGGAGCACGGTTACTAACTAACTAACAATTATTTATTTTATTTATTACCTATTTATTTATTTATTTATTTATTTATTTATTTATTTATTTATTTATTTGTGTTTTTACTCATTCATCCAAACTGCGAGTGGAGTTCATAGTTATTTAATTAGAATATAGCGCAGGTATGCTGTTGTATAATATTTCGACGAACGGATACTTTTATATTTCAGATGAGGACGATAAAAGCAAAAGCTGGGGAGAAGTAGAGCTGAGGTGAGTGAAACAAATCACACACATAGCACACGTTAAAAGACAGTAGTGGTCAAGATGTGTCAGAATATTTCATTTAGAATCACTCAGTAAAGTCTTATTTCTGCATATTCAATACAAATGTTCCACACTAAAAAGCAGTTCAGACATTTTAGTCAACTCTGTCTACATGTCTTTATGGTTATAAATAAATAGTTCTTGTCACTCTTTCTCGTGACTGTAGGGGTGCTTTGGACACAATCGACAGACGGAAAAGGAATTCACGTTTTTTCAGTGAGTACCTTTGTGTTCCTGTTTCATTCAGGTCATGTAGTTGAAAAATATGATATGAACTCTTTATGCACATATCAAACATAACTTAATTAATGCCTATTTTCAATTTTCTATGATTGATTATTGGAAAAGGCCATGTACGTGACAGTGACGTGTCTTCTGATCATATCTACTCTGGCTGTGGTTGGGAAAAGAATGACGCTGTTGAGCATTTCCCTTCAGTGTGTGTGATTCATCTCTGAGTGAATACATGCTCCCCTAACTGTTTATCTCTCACTCTGAGCATGTTGCCTCACAATTTAAATGAAACACACCACAGTTCACTGTTGGCTCACTCCATTTTAAAATTATGTTTTAAATAACCTAAAATGGCAGCACGTCCCGAGGCCTCTGATTCACATGAATATTGCGAGAAATGGGGCAGGAGTGTGTGTGTGTGTGTGTGTGTGTGTGTGTGGGTGGGTATGTGATACATGTGTGTCTGTGCAAGCCAGAGACAGGTTTCTGCAAGTATTCATATCACCTAACTTGAGACAAAAACAGCTGCTGCTGCTGCAACTTTGCATTCCGACAAGTACGTGTAAAAGGAATGTCAAATGCAAACAACTGCTCTTGGCTAACACTGTTAATTTCTTTCTATCTCTCTCTCCTCTTTTTCCTTTGCTGCCTGTATTGTTCAATTTTCTCTTTCTGTTTTCTCCCAGATGCTGCCCAGCTCTACCAGCAGTACAGCGAGGCTGCCCAGAACTTTGAGATCCTGCGTCAGGCTCGCTCCGATGGCATCTCTGTGAGCGAGGGCACTACCCCGTCTCCTGCTCCCTCACCCCCTCCTGCACGCAGACCTCTTCCTCCCATCCCTCCTGTCCCGCACCCCCACTCCTGGGCACCCGTGGGCTCCATCACCAGTGTCCAAAGCTTGCCTCTCCCTGAGCCCCCCAAGAGTGAAGGCAGGCCTTCCTCCCCACGTCTATCCGTCTCTCTCTCGCAGTCATCCACACTGTGGCGGGAGCTGCCGGGGGTCAGGAGCAGTGGTGAGCTGGAGGAGCTCACAGAGGACCAGAGGCGACTACAGGAGGTAACAAGTGAACAAGTATACAAATTAAAGTCTAGTCACCTTTTGATGGAAGAATTTTTTTTTTATACAGCTAGTATTAAGGGTTTAATTGATGTAGGAACTTTGTGCCAGGAACTTCTGTCAGTGATTTACAATCTTCTTTGGAAAGTTACTAACACAACAGTCACACCTCAGTGAAATTCAGGAGAACGCTCCGGGCAAAAATGATTAGCATTCACTATCCCCACAGCTTTACTTCTTTCATCCAACTTCCGTGAAGGATTTTGATCTTGATTCGATTTTAATTTTTTATTAGAGCAGCTAAAACTGTTTCTTCTTAAGTACAGTAAATATTAAGCAGCAGTGTAAGAATCAGCGACGCAGTTTCTGTTTCATTTCCTGCAAAGTTACTGGCACAACAGTCTCACCTCAATGATAGATGAATGAAACAACAGAGAAGCTGCTGATGTGAAATCACGCTCCAAAACATTCCAATCACTTGTTGGTAGTAAATAAACACGGGGAAGTGAATCTCTAAAGCAACAAATATTTCACTCATCTGATAACTTTGTAATGCATTTGTTTTCATGTTAATCTGTTATAGTTTTAGAGATTCACTGACACCATAATGACCAGAATGTGTTGGAGCTTCATTTCACATCAGCAGCTTCTCTTTTGTTTCATTCATTTTCAAATCATTGCATGGTGATTTCTGTGAAATGACACAACTCTAATGAATCAGCTTTTCACAGTTCCTACCTCGCACACCAAACTACTAAAATCTTGAGAAGAATTCAGTCTTGCCACATCTCAGAATAACCCTACCATTGATCCACTTTTTATTGGCAGACGAGTGTCTCCTACCAGAAGTGGTGATTGCGTAAGCGCATTGTGTTTCTCTGGTATTGTAGGTGTTTCCCTTTCAACTTAAAAACTGACATGTCTTAACTGCAAGCCATTGTGAAATCCTAGTTAGTCACATCTCTGTCAAAAGACACCTGCCAGCAAATAACTGGCAACACTGTGCTTGTTAATTATAAATGTAATAATGCTGTAGCAGCTCTTGTTGTAGCTGACTTGCTGTTCATCTTTTCTCATGTATTTTTCTCATGTATTTTTCCTTCTAGGTGAGATTTGAGGTGGTGACCTCAGAAGCGTCCTACTGCCGGAGTTTGGACATTGTTGTTGAACACTTTGTAAAGTGCAAACAGCTGGGGGCGCTGTTGACTACTCAGGATAGGAACTGGCTGTTTTCGCGGCTTGCTGATGTTCGCGCCATCAGCCACAGGTCAGAGCAGGTTGCCATCTAGGTCCACATTTAGATACATGAAACATGCATTAAGTGATTATCAAACCTTTTTGTGTTGTGCAGGTGCAGTTTCACAAATCTGTGGGAGGAATACGCTTAGAATAATTCTTGATTTTTGTTTCAGTTTTTTGTCAAAGTTGGAGGAACTGGTGGAAACTGACATCGTACAATTCACCGTGTGTGATATCATCGCTCGGCACTGTCAGCGCTTCAAAATGGTTTATGTCCCCTACCTCACCAATCAGTCCTATCAGGACGCCACCTACCAGAGACTCATGTAAGCCACTCAGTCAAGCCTTTCTGTTCAGCTATCATATTCTTTTTATCTTTCTATGTATTCAATTTATCTTTTTCCTTCAGGAATGAGAATATAGGGTTCAAGCGGATTGTGGAGAAATTAGAGAGGAGTCCTGTTTGTCAGAGGCTTCCTCTCCGTTCCTTCCTCGTCCTTCCCTTCCAGAGGATCACAAGAATTAAGCTGCTGGTCCAGGTGTGTGTGTGTGTGTGTGTGTGTGTGTGTGTGTGTGTGTGTGTGTGCGAATTTCTGAAACAGCAAAGCTTGATGGTTCACAACATTTGTCTATCTGACTTTAACACTTTAACACACTGTTTCTGTCCAGAACATTGTGAAGAGAACAACTCCTGGTACTGCAGAGGCGTTTCAAGCCATCAAATGCTTGAAACTTCTGGAGAAGGTACTGTAACATCCTATTTATGTTAACGTAGGATAGCAATATTATAATATACGTAGTTGAAAAATATCTTGGATATCTTGAACTCCTCAGTGACAAACGTCTCTTTTTATAAAATTTATTTTTCCTTTAGCTGATTCAAGAGAGTAACGACAGCATCACTCAGATGAAAAGCATTGAGTCGCTGGTCTGTCTCAGTGCAAAGACGGACTTTGAATGCAAGGTAAGTAATGGCTTCTAGGGACAAAATCAATGGGATTACATTGTGATGATATGATCACAACATGACTGATTTCATGCAAACTTTAACTGTAATTAAAAACTAAGAAAATAGATGTTTTTTTTATTGGTCTTGAATTTTATTTTATAAACTGATGATTAATCACATTGGACAACTATTTGACATTTGATTTTGCATATTTGTGTTAAAACATTTATTTCAGTCACCATTTCCAGCACTAATTAGTAAATATCCTTGTTTTTAGGGATGTTTATGGAATCTACAACAAATCAAAAAGTGTGACCAAATGATCTTAACTCAAGGGCCACTTACTTAGCTTTTCTACTGCACCACAAGAGTCTTCATCGGTGTATGGAGTTAACTCAGTTGCCATGGAGATTGCTCAGTTGGCATCCCACGATCTGTAGTCGCGTGATAACAGCTGGTCGTATACAGTATATATGAAAAATATACAACTGACCACGAGCTGTGGTTGAAAGTCCCAGAAAAGGAGCTTGAGTGAAGATAATTTTGTCAAACTCTGAAAATGTTACTTTCACGCTCAAAAATATTAATATGCTGTCTTTGTCTCTCTGTTTTGTGTGTGTGTGTGTGTGTGTGTGTCGTTACAGACTCTTCCTCTGATCAGTCAGTCTCGGAGGCTGGTGCGGGAAGGGCCGGTCACCGAACTGATGGATTTTACTCAAAAGGAAACGGAGAGGAATGTTCATTTGCACCTATTCAATGACTACTTGCTGCTTTCACTACATAAAGAGTGAGTCAACAAACATGTTTGAATAATCCCTTTCCATTCACAACATCCTGTTTTCTTCATAACCGCAGTCTTTTATAATCCCTTCAATCTTATCGCAGTCTTTCCTTCCGCCATCTCATTTGTCTTTTGTGCTTTCGCTGTTTCCAGAGGGGGGAGGTTCACAGTAATAGACCACTGTCCTGTATCAGACCTGCGTGCCGAGAACTGTCGCATCAAACTTCACTCCCTCCAGAAGAACGTGTTCCGGCTTCACATGACAAACAGAGCCCTGCTGCTACGGACTGACACACAGTAAGAGACTGAGAGCGTAGCAGGGAATGACGTCACAAAGTGGAAGAAGTTGCAGATACTCATCCTTGCTTTTTCTTTCTTCAGGAGTGATAAGCTACGTTGGATATCTGCTATTTCCCGGCCGCATCCTGAAATAGATTTTTCTGCTGCGCAAGGTGAAGTATTCTGTTTCAGACATTGCAAAAATGCTAAGCTGTTGAAATCCTTGCCTACTTCACTCATTCCCTACATTATAAACACTCAATGTGTTGCTCTATCGTGAGTCGTTAGTTCAGATTTCAAACACTATTACTTATTTTGAAGTCGTCATTTTGAATCCTGGGCAACAGGTACGTTGTCGCATGAAAGTTAACGAAGTAAAAGATGGTATCATAAGAATACAACGGTGACTGTCCAGCAGTCTAAAAAGCACCCGAGGCACTCTGATTGTAGGTTAAAAATACTTTCTTAACTCACTGATAACCAACGTAATTCAACTCAAACGTTCTTCATCGGGGTATGATGTGTGATGACGAGAGGTGTTCAAGTTAAAACTCATTAAGAGGTCTCATGGCATGTAAACACTGCCCACTGAAAGTATTGAGGGATTTTTAGAAAAATAGTGACATTTGGTTGACACTGTTGAAATTGTGCATACATGGCATGTGGTAAAAAAGAAAAATGTTGCGCTCATAATATATACACCTTTTCAACCGCAGGGGAATGCAGTGAACTTCCATTGGGGAAAAAAATGAATCTTTTGGGTTCAGTACACCAAAGCTGAGTGCCACTGTGTTGGAGAGTATCATTTAATACTGATAACAGTGAAATAAACTGTATTCAGAATTCTGATATTCAGAGTTTTTCTGACTTAGTTGCCATGAATGCATGGCATGTGATAGAGGCCGTGCACACTCACACAGGTGTCTTCAGTTACCCTGGCTGATTAGACCTCAAGTCAAACGGTAGTTGGGTGGAGATCTGTTTGGATGAACAGTTTTTTTTTCAGGCCCAATTTACTATCTGAGCATTACACCATTTGCGTTATTGATCGATGATTCTTCATGACTGTAGGTCTGACTTCTCTCCTCTTGTGTCCATACAGACTTTACACAGATGCAGTGTATCCGAGCTATTGTGTCCCAGCATCCTGATGAGGTGTCGTTGGAAAAAGCTGATATCATTCTAGTGCACCAACGAAGCAGTGACCGTAAGATCATCATACTACATTATTCATCATGCCCTTGTGGAAAGTGGGATTCACCTTTATAATATATGCAGTCTGGTATTATTAGCAATACGCATTCATTTAATTTTTGTTGGTTTCTATTTTCCTCCCAGATTGGGTAGAGGGGACCAGGCTGTCCGATTGGCATCGTGGATGGGTGCCCGAGTCACATTTGGAAACCATAACCAACTCTAGAGTTCGGAAACGCAACCTGGAAGATGCCCTCAAACTGACAACTGCCACAGCTGCTGTTTGAGTCCTGGATGCACCGTAGAGGATAAGACTCTCAATTATCTGCTTCAAACTGCTGGAAACTGGACTATGGACATTTAGTGCCTCAAATGGGGGATTATATTGTTCACAATAGTGCAGCAACTGAGATGCTGTAATAATGCATCTCAATGTAGCATTGGGTCTCTTGGTCGTACAATATATTGCCGTTGGAGCGATCCGTGAACTGCTGCTGAGGCCTGCCTGAAAGACATTAAGGACTTTTTGACTCTATTAAGTGTTATCTACAGTACATTACAAACATTGAGTGTGCTGTATTACATCGATAAACTGTTGTTTTAAGATACATTTTTGTTAAAGGGAAATCCAAAAAAGTATGTGCTTGGAAAATGTTTTGTTATTTGTGTATATTAAAGAGAATTCAAAAGTTGAGTGTCTGGTGCTATTGTTAATTCGGCAACTGCAGAGCTGAAAGAAATCATGCAGAATGTAAAAGACGATTCAAAGATGTACAGAGACAGTGAAGACATTTCAATAAATTCAGATTGGTGGCGTAAATAACTTTTGATGTGCATGCTTTATTGAGTGTACGTACAGTGGCTTATTTTCTCCACCATATAAACTGTTTTGGTCATTTATAGATATAACTGTGACAAATTAAACATCAGCTCAGCAATGCTGCACGTACAAAGCCAGCCTGAGTTGTGCGTGTTTACTGACTGCAAGACCTGTTTACAGAAGAAAGAACGTGCAGATAATGTACGTAGGCTGGCTGAGGCGTGAACTTAGGCGTGGTCCAGTTCCAGGACCTGCTATTGGTTATTTGTGCCATTAAACTGGGAAAACAGGGAGACAACCGAGTCAACATGTGTCGACGGACTGCATGAATCATCCAATGAATTCACTGCAAACCACAGCCTTTTAAAAACCTCCGCTGCAAACCTGCCTTTGCTTAGCTCTGAATGGACATATTCCGCTGTCAATCTACGTGCTCGTCGCTGATTGGCCAGAGATGTAGTGGGCGGGCGTTGCAGTATTTGTTGTTTTCGTCCTGCAGAGTGAGTAGACCAGTCGACATCTTTGAAATCGACCGTATTCCTGTAGATTCTAAGGCTAATTTGCACCCAAGGCATTATTTTGAGAAACTTGACTCAAGGGACCAGTGGAGTGAATCTGGATTTCGTCGTGTTTTGAGTGAAACTTGTCTTTGTCTTTCTCAAAGGTATGTAAACAAGTGAAGTCTTGTCGATCCTACAGCTGCTACTGCTAGCATTACCGTTGACAGCTTGCAACGTAAACAACAGATTTCGGGCACAGTAAGCAAAAACACGCCAACCCTTTACACACATGGTATGGACCTAGAGACGTTGGCAGTAAATACATTATTAGTTTGGTCGTTTTCTTTAAACCAGTTTTAAAATGAACGCAAGTTCACTCAGCTGATCTTGATGCTGTTGTGAAAGGTGACGTGGCCTCATGTCACGATGACCCAAAACAGAGTGAACCATAAACACGTGTCATGGAGACCACAACAATCTGTACACTGAAATAAAAGAAAAAGAAGTGGGATGAGTTCTGCTGTAATAGTGGCGGACCACGAGGGGATATCGTGTGCAGGAGTGTTTTCATCGTTAGCTTCACGTCACCCACAGCTGACTAACTTATGTTTTCAAAGGCTCCCATTTATGCTGTATGGTTACATTCTTAAATCACGCTATATACATTTTATATCAATATTTCTACACATACTGTATATTTTCTGGAAATCCAATTTATTGTACATTTATTGACAATAATAATCAGATAAAACAGTTTTGTAGCAGTCTGTTTTGGGCCAATCCAGTACAAAATGCCAAAGGTAATGTCTTCAATTGTTCTTGATATTCTTCACTATGACAAAGAAAATGACAAGTAGCAGAAAATACTCTCATTGGAGAAGCTGGAATTGGATAATGTTTGGGTTTATCCACTATTTTAGCCGTACATTGACTGAACTGATTAATCTATTAAATATAAAATTAAATCCGGTTTATTTTTATGCCGATCGACTGATCGATTAATTGACGCGTCGTTTGAAAAATTAAGGTATTTCATCACATTGATGCAAAAATCCTGTCTGTCGATCCGTAAATACCACAAAACAGTCATGCACAATGGTACTATAAGTGATGTTGTGGAACATATTCTTATATACCTGCTTTGAATAAATAATACCGAAAACCAGGTTGTGTTTTAAGTATTTATTCTCTGCACAGAGAAGGTTCAATCATCACAACAGAATGCGTACAGTCTCAGTGAGGAAGAACCTCGAAGAAAGTGAACACGCTTTCTTTATACAGAATGAGCAAAGGTGGAGGCCGATGGCCAAGGTTACAGACATTAGTCTCAGACTGATAGGAACAACAATGAAAAACAAACGGCCAGCAGCCAAAACAAGCGTCCTGAAGGCCTTGGCGGTGGAACATCCTCATACAACACAGTTGGTTATCTTTGTGAACAGGCAAGGGAGAATTCAGAGACACGGTGAAGTTCAACAAAGTTCAGAGCAAAATGACTTATGCATGAAAACAATATACTGAGTAGAAATGTATACCACGTAAAAAAAATTACCATGACACTGAAGCTCAGTTAATTGGTTGAATCAGGCAGTTGAATTAATCAACAACAAAATAATTAATCCTTTAAAACATCTAAACATTAGTTAAAAAGGGATAGTTACCTTGGTGTAAATAATAATGCGAAATCTCTTACAGTGACACATGTATATTATATATACCACTCACACCTAATCTCTATAAATAGATATCTGTATATAAAAGTAGATATACAATCTGTCTCATAACACCATTCTTGCATCTCATGTTGCTAATACGACTGTAAACAATGACCAGTGCTCGGAAAAGAAAGAAAGTCTTGGCCTGGATATCCACTGGTTACACTGGAACCCACAGAGCCAGACCGATATCCCTAATATGGCCTCCACAAAACACTCCACAAACTGTGCTCTTCAGGCGATCACTATCACTTGTTGACTAAGTGCACTGGTTGGTAAAGTCAGTGGGTTCTCTTTCTCCTTTGTCTGCTTGGTAAATACTTCTTTTGTTCGGGGACTTCAAGCTTGCTTGTGTTTGTTTCCTTGTATTGTTTTCAGATGGGCAGTCAGTACCAGCGCTCAGTGCCACTAGAGGTGAGGAGAGCAGAAGGAGAGAAAGTTCGGGCCAAGCATCCTGACAAGATACCGGTCAGTATGACATCGTTTCTGATAACTGGTTGCATTTCAACTGGGCCCAAGCGAAACTGGGCTAGGATATTATGTATGATAATATAACTTTTTTTTTTTTTAAAGCCAGTTCTCCAAATAATAGGCTAGATATGAATTTGTATTATTTAAACTGAAATAGCAGTGTGGAGTAATTTGTTGTGTTTTAGATTTTGGCCCATGAACACATTATTTTCTCTTGTTAGTGACGACTGAATGTTCTTTCTTTTTAACCAGATCATTGTGGAGCGGTCCACGAGGTCACGAGCTCCTGAACTGGACAAGAAGAAATACCTCGTGCCCTCAGATTTAACAGGTGCAACACATAAACCCATTCAAAAGCTTCTCACACCTAGCAATCACCCACGCTTGGCACCTGTGACTTGGACGAGACCAATTCAAGTTTGAACGGCCAGCGAACTTTCTGCTGACCAGTCAGTCGATGTCAGCGATGCGCCTGCCTCCCTCTTCTCTTGCTCTGAGCTCTAACGATTTTTACAGCAGACATTTTGACACATCATAGCAGGAAAAGCATGGGCGTATTTAATGATTCCACTTGGTGTAATGGTGGTATTGTGCGTGCTAGTTCACCGTCATTGCTCACTGGGACACTTGAGCCATAATTAATGTTATTAATTCCACCTTATTTCAGTGCAAATTGTTGTTCATAGCTTTTTTATTTTTGTCTTTCTGATTGAATCTGATTATAGTTCTTAAAAGTACAGCTGTATTGTGTTTTGTCTCAAGACTGACCAGTGACCCGGTCGTATCCCACACTTGCTTGTTTTCTTTCAATGCATCTAAAATGACCCTCGCTGACAATCTCGCTCTCTTTCTTTCCTTCCTTATTTTCAGTGGGCCAGCTGTGCTTTCTGATCCGTCAGCGCGTGTCTTTGAGACCGGAGGAGGCACTCTTCTTCTTCGTCAACAACTCCCTTCCCCCATCCAGTTCCCCTCTCTCAGCTGTATACGAGGTAACCGCACCCGTCCAGACACATGTTCACTCGAAGATCCAGCCACACCTCACCCGTACAAACATATTTAGCTATTTGAGTTTGCCTGCTCACAGCTGCAGGAATGCAAAGTTTCAGGTTACACACAAAGAAAATGTCATCTTTCCCCTCTTTACACACAAAAGACATCTTCGATGCCAGACAGATCTGCTTAGGCAGCGATGTTGCTTCACTTTTCTTGATCTCACGCCTAGTCTGCCAGTAACCACATGCACATAAAAAAAAAGTTCAGACCTAATTATTTGCACATCCTGAAAATGAAACAAGACGTTTGTTCCTATTTTGATGTTGTTAAAGGCGAAGAAGATCAAGATTTTGGATAAAAAATTTTTTATTCCTGAGTAATCAAATGAAACTGACATAAATGCATTTTTCATGTAAAAATAGTAACTTTGTTTAGCTAATAGAGCAGTTTTATGGAGTCAGTGTGGTTGGGTCAGCCGATAAGCACACTCTCACGTACACTTGTGCTGAATTATTCATTTGTCTCTTGCTTTGTTGTGTTCCAGGAGCACCATGACGAGGACCTGTTTCTCTACATGACCTACAGTAATGAGAGCGTGTACGGTGCCTGAGGGAGGACAAAAGGCTGGCGAAAGACAGAGAGAATGAGAGGAGACAAAGTGAGACTGTCTGAGGAATAAAGAGTTAAGGCTGTTTGTAATGCATTACTCTGCTATTATTCTCTATATTAGTTTTGATAAGCAACTACAGTACATGGTGGAAGAAAGGCTCCGCACAAGGCAGAGGGGTCACTGGGAGGGTTTACCTCCGTCAGTATTTGGGAATGAGCGTAATGCATTTAAGTACATTTCAAGTTATGTTAATTGCTTACTTGGTGAAAGAAGAAAGAGGAAGGATGGAAAAAAAAGGATGAAGTTATTGAAATTATGTTGAGAGCTCTCAAAATCTTTCTCGGTCATCTGTATTTAATGCAAATAGTTTTCTTTTTTTTGTAAATTAATATCAAACTTTTGTGGGAAATAAAGATGAAAATGCTTGTTTTTGTGTCTCCATGGCGGTTTTAGACATCAATAGAAGTAGACAAATTTTAATTTGAATCATAGATCATTTTCTTTCAAAGTTTATATTGCACTTTTAGAGTAGAGTTGCGCCTTTTGAATCACATCACACAGTAAAATGCTTAAAAAGCACATTGAGATACACACCAACGCCTTACCACACAGCCACTAGAATACTTAACATGTGGTTTAGAGGAAGCAGAGAGACAGAGGAGAAATCTTCATGGGGAAGTGTTCTGTCTTTACCGATTACATGAGTCGTACTCGCTGGACACAGGTCTGGGAAAATTTGTGGGTTTTATTTTTTTTCAAACAAAACAATATTGACACATTTCCTCTGCATTGGCGTCTGCCTGACAACAGGTTACATAACTACATTGTCAGATGAATAGCCGGGTCTGAAAGACTTTCCCGGCAAATCGAAAGTTAGAGAAATAGAAGAGAGGAGCTATGGAGATGCAGGACATCGCTAAAGAGAAGGAAAGAAGCAAAGAAGATGAAGGAGCAAGTGAACCGATGCTGGAGGTCAAAATTGAAGGTTTGAATTAAACTTATTTGATACCTATAAATGTATCTGTATATCTATATATAAACTTAAAGTTATGCATGCACCTTATTAGTGTTGTTTCACAAAAATGTTTTATTTTACATATTTCGAAAAAGTAGAATGAAATGAGCGTACATATTTTTTATTTTTTTTTTAACTTAAGAGCTCATTCCAGATGGTTTATTTCTGTTAAAATATGTCTGTCTGTGTTTTTGTCTCACTTTAGAGGAAGCAGAAACGGACCACTACGCTAAACTACAAAGTCAATCTGAGGACATCTATTCGGAAGCTGTACATGGTGGCACTCCATTTAAAACAAGATCAGGTACACTTTAATAACGAAAAAATAAAAATAAAATCAGGTCCTTTATTTAATGTACACCTGAAACGCCCCAAAACAGCATCTTTCAGCATGCATTTAAGCCGGCCTGCCTGTTTTTATGAAAAAATAAAAGGTCTTTATGGGTCTTCCATAACACATTGTTTTAACACAGCTTCATCAAATAATTCACTCATATTTTAATTTTAATTTAAAGTAAAAAAAACCAAAAACATTTCAGGCTGTTTTATCAACTTCCCTACATTGCCGAGTATTTCAGGAAGTGTTTCCATGTTACTGTACTGTCTCACTTCAGTTTATAAGAACGACTTGAGTGTGTCTTAGAAATCACATTCAAATAAAAAGAAAAGAAGAAAGCAGAAACAAAAGGTGTGATAGTTTTAAACCACATCAGCAATCCTTCAAAAAAGTGTACGACTAAACTATAATCAACCATAAACATTACAGTGAGAATGTCTGCTATGGTTTGATTGTTATGGCTTTAGAGATACCGGCTGTAGAGCTCCGACATTGTTTAGTTAAACAGCTTTTCTTTTCCTGTTAGGAAGCCAATCAACCTAAAAAGCCGTAACAATATGTAAAGAAGAAAAATCTGTATTTTCGCTACATCTTTCATGAATACCATCTCCAAAAGGCTTAGTTTGAATTATTTCAGAAAAACTATAAAATCCTCACAACTTTATTTTTTCACAATTTTATTAAAAATATATTTGTTAGTACTGTATATTTGCAGCACAACATAACAACAAAGCTAACATTTAGCTGAAGTTGCTGCAATTAATGATTCTTTTTTTTCAACCAATTAATTCATTTTGAGGTCTATATAAAGTCCAAAAATGGTAAAGAAATGCACACCACAATTTCCCAGAGCCCAAGTTGAAATTGTTTGTTTTGTCCAAACAGCCCAAAAGCCAAAGATGTTCAGTTTACCATCACAGAAGAGCATTTCTGCTCAAAGGTTACTCAAATTATTAATTATTAAATTGGTTGGCTGATCTGTTTATTCATTTCAAGTATAATTTGCCTAAGATTTATTCTTCATTCTTGTAAGTGTTCTACTTACAAAACTGATTCTTAATGTTAGTTCAAAGATTGTAATGTGGACATTCACATTAATACACAGACTAATACAATTAGTTTTTTTGCATTAAAAGTTGTTTACATCCTTAATTTTGGTGAGCATGGGAAAAAAAACATCTTTCAACAAAATAGTTATTCATCTTGAGAGCAAGCTCTTAATTATACATGTGAGTATATCTATAATACAACAACACGTGATGCAACACCAATTTAAAAAAAAGAAAGCAACGACAGCGAAATAGCACAACAGTGTGTACCGTTGAACAACACGCCTCTAATTCTGATAGTTATTAACATGCTAAATAAGTAATAAGTAAATGAAGCGCACTAAAGCTACTGCACTATAATTTACTCTCTTTTCTTTGACTCGGTAGAATTACATTTTTGCCCTTTTGTGTACAAGGATAATATTATATTTTTGTTAGTATTTTTGAGGTTCAAGAGGCAGCAAGAATCTCTGAAGTGTGTTGAGGGCTGATAAATTTCTGTATCAATGGTGACTGTGTGTTCTCTCTGTGAACTGTGTCCGACATACACTCGTCTGAAATGACCTCAAAAAACACATCCTATCTGTTGTTTTGGAGAACGGTGTCTTTAGGTGCTATCTGTCTGTGACTCTCACACACTCGTTTTCTTCAACCGCTAAAAACAGAATGTCTAAAACTAGGGTCCTCTTTGTCAGAACTCTAGACACAAAGACCAAAACACTAAATATCCTACATCTTTTACAAAAGCAAACACTTAGTTAAAAGCCAAATGAACTCTTCCAAAAAGGGTATTTTTGTATCACAACTTAACACACAAACACCAACTAAATAGCTCTTTAGTCAACAGCCCATTGATGTGCTAAGTTTAAAACAACTTTATATATTTACATTGCTGTGAATACTATGAGCAATGGGAAACATTATTCTCAATACTGATATCAGTGTCAGACACAATTTCTTTAATTGAAGATGATATGAACATGTACTGTACTTTAAGCAAAATACAATATGTTACAATTACTTTCTCTAACTCTCTAGAATAGGCCTCCGTTGTTGTGCACACCAAAGAGCAAACTGGAATCCTATTAAGAGTGCTCAAGCTCTGATTTATAAGTGATTCAATTGGTTATAGGTATTCTCACAGGTGCATTCTGGGTGTAGGTGATTGATAATTGAGTGTGGTATTTCAATGGCAGTGTTTTAGTTTTTGAATGATGTGTCTAATGTGTGTAGTTATTTGCAAAAAGTGTTTTTTAGAATTTCTAAAGACAATGTGCTTCTGGTTCATTTAAATAGTCAATAGATACGCGAGTTAGTGGTTTCACTAACTGTGCCACAAGTACCGTTTTTTGTGTCGTGGCAATTGTACAAAAAACTGTAAAGGGAGAGACAAAGAGAGATACAGTAAAAGTTTTGGAAATTGAGAGACAAGCCGTGCTCTGTGCTCCGTGAATAACTTGGGAATCAGTGAATGTCATGCTGCTATGGCAACGAGACAAGGGAGGAGGAGGAGGAGGAGGAGGGGGGGTGGCCTGTGTCTTAAAACTGCACTCAGACGTGAGTCAGCAGGAATAGGCAACCGGAGCAGGACGGAGTAAACAAGCCTTATCTCAAATACCAGGACACTTTTCTCAATGTACATCAAATTTTATCGCAGTTATGGCGAGGATAAAAAAGAAGCCAGTGAGAACTTGTCTCCTGAGTCCAAGTTATCTGTTGAAATGGACGGGGGGAAAGGTAGGCCAGAGCCTTGATGGTGGCTTATGTTTGTGCTTATTATCAAATATCTCTGAAATGATGTTTTCCCCTTTAGGCAAACAGACTGAGGGAAACACACGGGTGTACCGTGCTGCATGTTTATTCCTCACCATAATCTGCCTGGTCCTGCTGCTGGTCATCATTATTCTCAGCATGAAACGTGAGTATCTGCAGCCATGGATCATGTCGGCACTGTAAAAACAACACCAGAGCAGATTATTAGTGGACTGTAGGTTTCACTGGCAGTGCAGAAATAATATTTAAAAAATGCCAGGATCACTTTTGTTCTATTTTTGCTCATAACAGAGAACAATTTGAGATATAAAGTGTGTCTGATTGCACTGCTGCTGCCTGTGGGCATCATTGTTTTCTCTCACAACTTCTCCCACCGTGCTCTGCTTTCTAGTCCAAACTGGCTCCACAGTGTGCCCGGAGAGAGCGGAAACTACAGCAGTAGACAGGGGAGGTGCTCGAAACTGCAGCTATGAGGAGTGCCTGGATCTGTTCCCCAGCACTCAAGCCCAAGGTGAGTGCGATGTCCTTAGTAGAAAACCTTGCACAAGCCAAAAAAACATCTAAATCGAAAGAAAAACAAATGATTCTTTCTCAATCACCATGTGTCTGGTGACGGTTCTGCTTTCATAGTCACCCAAATTGTTTTTTAAGGCGTCGGAGGAAATTCATGTGCTTGTTTTTAGAGAAATGAGAAGAGTTTAATTTAATTCACAAGGTCAGTTGACTTTAATCAGCTTTATTGTTTCCTCTGACAAAAAATCATTTGAGAATGCTATGTGATGACACAAAAACACATACGCACATTCAAAAGCACATGCATGTATGTACAAAATATGGGCAGACATGAAAAAAACAAACCCAAAAGGAATAACAAAGCTAATTGGAGAAGGAGGAAAAGTCTGCTTCATTATTTGTGCAATGTAGTCCACATTAGTGAACTTTTGTTTTCCTTACTGGAGAACTTTCTGCACAGATCCCTCTCTCCTGCCACATCTGGGCTGTCGGCAGTGCGCTGATGGGTGGCTGACTTTTGGCCGGTCTTGTTTTTACCTGTCCACCTTCAGGCTGAGCTGGGACGAGAGCCAGAGGAACTGCACCGCCAGAGGAGGAGCTCTGGCTGTTGTTACCAGCCGGAAAGTTCAGGTGGAGCTCATATCACCTCCTTCTCTGACCATGAAGTGCAACCAAGCAGTTCATTAATGGTGATAATTTTGGTAAATGTAAAAATGGTGCTCTCTCTTCTAGAATTTTCTGACTGAGAAAAGTAAAATGATATACTGGATCGGGCTGAGAGAAAAAGGAGCCACATGGACCTGGGTCGACAACACTGTGCTGCAAGAGAGGTGATGAATGATTGATCGATCGACTAATCATCTTAGCTGTAGCACATTTCATCTTTTTCTTAACTATGTCAGATATTTGGGTTGTAAGGATGAGTTAGAAAAGGGGATACATTTATTTGTGTAATTGCTCTTTATGTATTTGACAAATATACTCGGTGGCCAATTAAAAACACACAAAGGCAGGAAGTGAAGCGATCTGCAATGAGAGGTTAACAAAATAAAAACATGAATGAATGACATGAAAGAAACAAAACAGAACCTGAGAGCAGAGTGGGACTCCGCGATTACTGTGTGATAGTCAATATTCTTTTCTTTTGTTTGCAGTTACTGGGCAGAAGTTCCATTAGAGGGGGATTGTGGGATCCTCACCAAGGACAAATCACCTGAGAACTGGATCAAAACTCCCTGCAATTCCGTCTCCTACTTCATCTGTCAGCTGCAGTTTTGACAGCATATGTCTCTCTTTTTTGAAACAGAGTAATGAGCAAACCAATCCTCTGTCAACAAGCATCAACTCTCCTCCATAACATTTCAAATCATATCTCTTTCCGCTTTAATCAGGAATATCCAGCAAAGAAAGATGATGAAGCTTTTTAGATGACAGTTTTATATTTAACACTTGAAGAGCTTTTATATCTGATTGTATTATAATATACATATCATACTTTGGTTTAGAATTGTGTTGCCTAATTTGTATTCTAACATGTCAGTTATGCTTATAAGCACTAATCACTCAGGCTCTGTCTTATCTGTCTTATGATTCTATTAACTGCTGTCTGACTTTTCCACAAATGAGGGCCAGTAAGTTTGTTTCAACAAAGTTTTATTCTCATATAAAAACGTTCATGCAGCTACACAATAAGTTCAATGTCTATGTTTCACTTTATTTTAGCTGAGCATATATTACTGCTACACATGTTTTATATTGCGATAAAAATAACACACTCTTCTTTCGCATAATACTGCAGGAATAATTGCACAGTTGAATATATAGGCAGATTGAGTCTTCGACTTGCAAGTTTGTTCGATGCCTTACGTGTACTTCATATGTTCAGGACTGTGAGATGAAGGCCTCTGGGACTGCTCTTCAGGCAGAATCGCTTCCTAAACATATTTAATGTCCTGGTCCTCCTCCGGCTCTTCCTGCTCCATCTCCATTCCCAAAGCGCTGTGGCGAATCATGTGCCACCCTTCCAGAGACCTCCTGTTGTTTTTAGGTCTGAGCGTGGGGGTTCCTGAGATGGACCCCTTTGTTGTGTCCGTCTTCTCCAATCCCTCATTTTCCTCGTCTTTGGAGAAAGCCTTGACGTAACGCCGCATCTTTTGCAACATTGGGTCATTTCTGTCCTCAACCCTACAAAGAGTGAAAACATCGTTACAGTTGCTGCAAGGTAAATACTCTCACCACTTAAACGATCGTAACGATGTTTTAAAGGGAGCTTTTGCTATTTAGTTTTACACTCAGGAAGTTGGAAACAAGTGAAACAGTAGAATCAAAGATATCCTGACTTTTTGTCCCCCGTATGCCTGAAGAGACACCTACATTTTCTATAATGCAGCTCATTAGCGTCTTCTGTTGGACTTTCCTCCGTTGCTTCGTAAAAAAACTCACATCTTTCAAACTCCATGCAGACCTTGCGTTATATTTTTTAATGACATCAGAAAGCAGAGATAAACTCTGATGACGTAATCAGATTTATTTTCTCAGACTTGAAAAAACTCCACAGAAGACATAAAACTGTGTTCACGGGCTGATTAATACTCCCTATGAGTAGTAAACTAATATGTAAAATCGGTGGAGTGGCCCTTTAATATACCTTTTGATAAACCACATAATGCAGCATGTGTAAAGCTGTAGTGGCCCTTATGTATACGTGGAGGAGGCGGGATAATAATAGATCTGTGAGAGTGAGAGTTGTGTTTCTTACTCGCAGCACAACAGGACTTGTGGCTGCATTACACATTACTACTTAGATTGTGGTCAGTGGACAATCTTCTTTCTGTATGATTATTTTGAGCAAAAATAGCAAGCCTAAAAAAAGTCTGAGGTGATAATGTTTATTCACGGAACAATTTACATTAATTATTTCCATTTTTGCTATTTCAAGTAAGGGTGTTTTTGGTGAGTTTAAAGGCTCTGAAAACCTTTTCTTTTTCAGCTTTCTTATGATGACCAACGGGGTCCCACATGGACACACTATTTTGTACCAAAGCTACTTTTTTGATCAGGAAACACATTTTCAGCGGCTTTAAAGCTTTTGCTTTTGTTTCTGTTCCATCTCACCTGAGATACCAGCGCTCCCTCAGACCGTAGTTCAGCCCACACACCCCGAGCCGAGGCCACAAGCAGCGGGGCAGCTTTCTCTCCAGCATCAAAGTTGTGGCTACCACCTGTACAACATCATTACAGCTTTTAACCACGGCACACTAATGCATGATGGTACGTTTCTATGCATTTATGTTCGTGTCCTTAGATACAAGTCCATATCTGTGTGTGTATTACCTGAGTCCTCCAGAGCTCGTCTCTCTCCTGGGCCACCCTCCAGTGTGTGTCACTCATCATAGCTATCAGAAGATTGAGCAGGAGGATGTAGGAGACCACAGAGAAGGTGCAGTGCAGCACATGGACGATCGGGGGAGTAGCGATGGTGTGGTCCACAGGCAGATCTATGAGGCCCACGCTGAGCTCAAACTGGGAGAAGAGGGTGATGGGGAAGGAGCGATATGAAGGAATGGAGTCGGGCTCCTGGGTCATATACACCATCCATAGGGCTGAGAAAAAGTGTGTGAGGGAGTAGAAATGTTATTTCATTTCAAGAACTTCTTATATTTTAAGCTTTGTAAGGGTTAAATACTTGTTTGTACATGTAACCCAAAATATACTCACAGGTGGAAAAACCAATGAGCACAATGAAACTCAGCCACATAAACTTTGTCAGGTCTCCAAATATAATCTAGGGGGAAATGAGACACATGGTAGGTCAGTCTGCAAACACAAATAGGTGAACCTCAAAAACCAAAACAACAACTGAATACATCTGCTTCAAAAACATTTTGGTACAGCTGTGTGTGTGTGTGTGTGTGTGTGGGTGTGTGTGTGTGTGTGTGTGTGTGTGTGTGTGTGTGGAACAAACAGCTATTTCTCCATGACTCAGAAGCTCTTACAGCATGCACCACTGTGTCTGAGTCCTACCTTTTGTATCATGATGACATAAGGGCCGAGCATTTCAAAACCTCGGGCGAAGAACATTACATTGCTCCAGCCGAGAACTAAACACACTGCCATCACCACAGCCTCCCCCTGCACCTCGCAGGCTCTGAACACACACAGCAGCACCACCAGGCACGCGTAGCTGATACTGGTCAAAACAACAACAGACAGGTTAGAGGGTCTTTCAGAACAGTGCGCTTTATTATACTGCTAAGACGTGTTTTCTACTCACAGGATAACATGGAAGGGGCCTCCCAGTGCTGTTTGGCCAAAATAACGCTTTGCCCCGACTCTCAGTATATCAGGGATCTGTTGGAACAGGGAGTACAGGAGGATGTGGCAGTGCAATATATACATATTTATACAGTATGTAAGAAGATGAAGCATGATCCGTAAATTCACCTCCAGCAACAGAATGACAAAAGCTCCCAGGATGCTGAGGATCTCACCCGCTAGCCGCAGGTTGTCCTCATGTGTCACATAACTCTCCTGAGGGAGGAAACAAAGATGTATTCATATTTTAAAAGGTACACCATTATTAGACTGTGTGTCACATGCAGGTGCACAGTTTGACATTTGCACATGCACAGTATACATATGATAACATATAAGGTCCAAGTATGAGCTAAAATAGGGTATTTTTTGTAGTTTATCAGTTTTTGTGTCATTAGATTTTAGATTTACTTCATCTTTATCATTAGGACTGGATATGTATGCATAAACAGGGTTTCTGTACCCCCCAAATAGTCCTTGGGGTCCAGTGATGGGCAAAGTGTTCAGATCTTTTACTTAAAGGTCTAATAGTGTGTAGGTGAACAACGGCGGCCGATGCGGAAACACAAAAATGTGAATGGCCCTTTGTAGAGCCAGTGTTTGGTTTGGCCGTTCTGAGCTACTGTAGCTCTTCGTATGTAGAAAAAAACTGCTCATTCAAAAGTAACACAAACACACAGATTCTTATTGTCGGATGATTATACACTAAAGAAAACATACTTGATAATATTACATTCAATTTCTACCCTAAATGCTACTCTCTGTATCTTTAGTTAAAGTAGTGACACCACAGTATGAAAATACTACAAGTACAAAATATCACATGTATGTATCCACACACCTGGAGGGTTTTCTGGACACGGATGGTTTTGTCCATCTCTGACTGTGTGTAGTTCTCCGGGGCGTCCTTCAGAGGGCGATATGCACAACACAGTGTGAAGGTCCCGATGTACAGCAGATACAGTAACAGCAGCAGCCTAACGCAACAAAAGGAGAGAAAAACAACATGTGTAAAAGCAGACTGGTAATGTGTACTGTTCAGATATTTGACTCCGGATACCAAACTGTACCTGAAGTAATGTTTTCCATACAGGTTCCACTTGATACTAACCAGCTGCCTCACAGGGGTCACTTCCAGTATCCTTCTAGCCTGAAGAACACAACTAGATTCAATTTCTTCACACCACATCAACGATGTTATCTCTCACCAAACTACTTTGTATTGCACCTCTTTCTGGTGACTGCCCACGATGAGCTCCAGCACTGACATGTTGTCGGCCCATGAATCGATCTCCGTCAGGTCGTACAAGTTAGACGTCAGAGGGCCCAGACTCCACTGGACCACACGCCTTTTACTAACCAGGTGCTGAAAGGCCTGAGAAAGACAGACGGAAGCTCAGCAGTGAGGACAGGATTAGTGAAATAATCTGCTCCACCTTTCATGTTGGGTTTTCACCCTGTGACCCCCCCCCCCCCCTCTCAGGCTTCATATCACTCACAACAACGTTTCCCTCTTTGGCAGCCAGTTTAAAGGGCGTAAGGCCTCGATAGTTGGGCACCATGTCGAGTGGCACTGACTGGTCCAGCTCCACATCGCGTGCCATAATCAGGTCAATGGCCTGGCACGCAATCGTCTTGTTGGGCTGCAGAACCAAAATGTGAAGTACGGTGTTACCTAGACAGACAACAAAAGAATGCAGAAAGAGTGTAGACAAGGGACAAGAAGAGACAACAGAAGGCTATTAATAATCAAAATATCAGACGGTTGTAAAATTATTCTGGACTCTTCTCCAACTCTCCTACAAGAGGAGGTATTTCATACCCCGGTAATCCTGGACCCTGGTGCTGGCCCCGCCGTCGATTACCATGGAGATAATGTCCTCGTTCCCGGCACACGCAGCAAAAGACAGGATGTGCTCACCTGTTGACCAAATGCACATTTTGAAAAACGCCATCTTTTTTTTTTGTCACTATGAACACATACATTTTTTACCTACACATTCTTTATGGGCATTTCGGGGTTACTTGTAGCTACATCCACCACCATTACCCCTTTTTACTGTAAGCATGCTGACTTACCATAGTATATGAGTCCTCCTATCCTCTTCCTGAAGTAGAGACCGGTGACTCGAGGTGTAGCCACGTCACCCCCACGACTGATCAGATGATGAACCATATTGATGTTCTGATTCACAACAGCGATGTGGAGAGGAGTAACACCTGAGACAGAGTAGGGAGAACATTGTACTTCAGTCTGCTGTACATCAACTGTTCTCACATAAACTTGTGTGTCTTGCTTAGCTGTTACAAGTGGTGGAAGAAGCATTTAGTAATTTACTTAAGTAAATTATACTACACTACAGTAACTAAAGCTGTCA